TCAAATTTATATTTTATTCAAAAATAAWATCATTATTGTTTTCTTAAAAACACATAAATCATATTATAACATCGACATAGACAAATAATAAAATAGAACATTAAAATCAAGATGTGTCTTGCTGCATTACGCGAGTACCCTTCTAGTGTATATATATATATATATATATACACACACACAATAGGCGGACCTGATGTGGTAGCATGGGTGGCACGTGCCACCGTATTATTTCGTCGTCGAAGGGTAAAAAATTTAGGTTTGTTAACGGTGCTACCATATCGTTTTAGAAAGTGCTACCGTATATCCCTGAAATTCAAATTGTGCAACTAAAACCCAAACAAAACAAAGCCCAAATAATCAAAACCATATTTTTTGTAATTATTTTTGGGTATATATTGACCGTTTTCAAAAGATGAAGACGCGTCGGGTACAAGTTTAGAAGTTGTTTATCGGTACTTAGGGCTGTAAACGAACCGAACGAACACGAACGGAGGCTTGTTCATGTCCGTTCGTTTAACTTGTGTTCGTGTTCGTTCGTTTAAAAATAAGGTGTGTTCTTGTTCGTTTATGTTCGTTCGTAAACATGTTAAACGAACGTAAACGAACGAACATAAACGAACATAAATAAATATTATTTGAATTCAAATTAAATAAATAAAAGATAATATATTAAATTTAATATATAAACGAACGAATGTAAACGTACGTAACCGAACAGTAAATGAACGAACGAGACTCTTGTTTATGTTCGTTCGTTTAACTAAACGAACAAAAAAATAGTTCATGTTCGTTCATTTATTAAATAAACGAACTTCCCGCCGAACGGTTCACGAACGGTTCACTGAACGTTCGGTTCGTTTACAGCCCTATCGGTACTATAAAAACCATATTTTATAATTATTTTTAGATGTATATTATACTATATTAATTATATGGTGCCACCGTTTAAAAAAAAATTTGGGTCCGTCCCTGCACACACATACATAATATATATATATACACACACAGACACACATACATACATCGTCATAAGTTATTTTGAGAAGTGGTAAATATTTGATAAGTAAAAAAATGATCCTAGCCGTTCGTACGATAAAGATCGGATTTTACTGGTCAAAATTTGCGGCTATGCTAAAAATATAGAGGGTAGTTCATAACTTTTATAAATAGACGCAAACGGGTTTATATGTGAACCCGTGTGATTCATATATTAACTATTTTAACTGATTCACATATTAACTAATTAACTTATTCACATATAAACTCGTGGGTTCATATGTGAATCAGTTAAATAGTTCACATGTGAACTAATTAACGGGTTCACATATGAACTTGTTTGCCGCCTATTTGAGAAAGTTACAAAATTATCTCTTTATCTTCCACATACTCATGCGAGAAATTATCCGGTGCTTAATAGTCAAAGCCGCAAATGTTGACCCGATGAAGTGATAGAATCACTTATTTACTTCTCAAATGAACATTTTCCTATATATATATATATATATAGAGAGAGAGAGAGAGAGAGAGAGAGATAGAGATAGAGAGAGGACGTTTCAAATGCAACTCATAACATTTGTACAACCAATCCAACCCAATCAATTGAGATATTTATGGAAATGATGAGAGTTCATTTATTATGATTTGAATATTTATGGATGATGATTAGAGTTCATTAATTATGATTAGAGTTCATTAATTATGATCAATACTTTGTATTAGGAAACAATTAAAACTTTTATAAAATCACATATTTATCAAATTAAATGAACGGTTGAGATCGAATTGTATTAGTTGTACAAATATAAATGGTTGTATAATAACACACCTCCATATATGTATGTATGTGGTGGTCTTGTTTAAAACCTCTCACACACACACATCTATATATATGGGTGTATCAGCATACATGCATTATATATATATATATATATATATATATATATATATATATATAGACTTGGGATCATGTGAGACCAATGGTTTTTCGTGAGACCCGTAAGACCAATTCTCAACCATTGGATTAGATTTACAATCGTCAGATCTGAACATTCATAAACACCACGAGACTTCTCAATAATTACAAAATTGCCACCTTGCAACTTTAGACCATTAGATCATTAGTTTATAAAGTTGATCAATGAACATAAATTGGTCTTATGGGTCTCACGAAAAACTCATGGTCTCACATGAACCCAACCCTACATATATATATATATATATATATATATATATATATATGAGAAAAATGAAATGGTTAAGGCATAAAAATAAATGATTTATATATGAATTATTGTTAAACTTCAAAAAAAAAAACCATTCATGATGAATATGTGAACCTACGTTTGATTACCTTCATTCTTACTTATTTACATATAAACGCATATATAAACCCACATTTTCTCATATATGAATCATTTATTCTTATATTTTTAATATTTTTGTCTTTGGTATTTTAGCCTCCCTAATCCTTATACAACATCAGGATCATGTATATGTATGCCAAGATGGTAACTTATGTGAAGCTCCTAACAAAGTGGTTTCTAATATTCTTATGAAATTTTGAATTTCTTACCAAGACCCAGACTTATGCGCGAGCATATATAGAGAGAGGGGGGTGAGTTATTGTGAAATATTTTACATTTGTACAACCAATATAACTCAATCTCAATCGTTTATTTAATTTGATAAATATGTACTTTCATAAAAGTTTTGATTGTTTCCGAATATAAAATATTGATCATAGTTAATGAAACTTAATCATATTCCATAAATATTCAAATTATAATAAATTAACTTCATCATTTCTATAAATATCTCAATTGATTAAGTTGCATTAGTTGTATAAATGTGATGAGTTGTATTTGAAACGTAATATATATATATATATATTAGAATGGTATCTCGCGTAATGCAGTGAGATATATCTCGATTTTAATGTTTCGTTTTATTTTTTTGATCTCTATCGATATTATAATATGAATTTGTATGGTTTTGAGCATGCAATAATGTTTTTTTAATATAAATTTGAAGATATCATAAAAATTAAAAAAATATAAAAAGTTCTATTTTTTTGTGTAATTTCTTTAATTCAATTTTTACATATAATTTAATTTAGATTTAATAATGAAGTTATTTATTTTTAATTTAATAATATAATTCTTTTATAAAGATAATATTTAGTATTTTGAATTCAATGATTATCCTAAATATATTTTAGATTATTTATATTTAAAATGAGATACTTATTCAGAATTTGATTATGTTTATCTGTAGTTAGTTACACAAATTCAAATATGGAGCTTTAATAAGTTGTACATACGGACAATTTACTTGTAATCTTGAATTTTAAGTAATATGAATCAATAAACAGTACTTAATGCATAAAAAGTGATTTTTAAGAGTTTTTGTCAAATGCTTTATAATACAGTATATATATAGATTATGTCTTTTTTAAGAAATCAATAATGATTTTATTTTTGAATATAATATAAATTTGAAGATATTATAAAAATTTGAAAAAAATAATATCAATGTTAATATCAAATCAAATATTTAAAAGTTATCATTTTTTATGTAATTTTTTTTATTATAATTTAATTTAAGTTTAATAATAAAATAATTTATTTTTGGTTTAATAATATAATATTTTATATAGATAATAATTAAGTATTCTGTTAAAACTCAATGATTATCCTAATTATAATTTAGATTTTTTTATACGTAAAATGAGATGTTTATCATGTATTTGATTATGTTTATCTGCAGTTAGTTACACGAATTCAGATAGGGAGCTTTAATAAGTTGTATTTACGTACAATCTACTTATAATCTTGAGTTTTAAGTAATATGTATTAATAAACAGTATTTTACGCATAAAAAATGGTTTTTAAGAGTTCTTGTCAAATGTTTTATAATATAGTATGGACATATGTATGTAATTAATAAGTGGAGCCATGATCATTAGACAATAAGGAGCACATAGAAAGATATATTGTGTGGTCACTTTTGTAGGCTTGTTAAAAGGTCCCCCTCATGTGACCAAATTGACCCCTCAAGGAACCATAACAAAACCAATTATTCGATTAAAGTTTGTGTATGTGACGGTTGATTAATAAACCAAAAAAACAAATCATAAATAAAAAAATACAAAAAATGAAGCCGAATATAGATGGAAATAATTTTTTTTTTAAAGTAACAATTGGGTTTTAAATACAAGTGGAAAATCAAACGAATATAAAAAAAACAGGATATTGTTTACCTTCATTTGGTTTACTTTATAAACATCAACTATAAGTATTTTGAATAATATTGAAGGGTAAATTAGTAATTTAATAATCTCGAAATTAAAGAGACTTTACTAAAATAAATGTGGATTATAATATTCCAATTAATAAATGGTAATATAGTCATTTCAAAAGTATCTCAAATTTGTAGGTTGAAATAAAAGAGACTATTTCAATAATAGGGTTGGGTTCTTGTTAGAAAGGTAAGAAGAGATCTTCATCTTTATATTAATCCTAATTGAAGAGAAACACTAGATCAACATTAATGAGATGCATCAGATCAATTCTCTTCTAAAGCGTAATTCATTGTTGGTTTGAAAGTAAAAGTGATCAAGGATCCAAATTATTTCTTAAACTTTTCATCTTAACTCATATTCTCACACGATCATTCGTCTTAAGTAATAATAGGTGCTATGCTTCAGTGTCTAAGTATCTCATAACAAAACTAAGATATAATAAATAAAGGGAAATATAGTCATTACAAATCTCAAACTTAAAATGAATTTTTTAACAAAAGGTAAGTTGTACTAAATGAGTCTCTTGTAGTTAATAACAATATATGATTAGTGGCATCTTAACGTCAAGTGAAGAAAGACAAATTTTGGTTTGTCTTTAGGGACGGACCTATAATTTTTTCCGAACAGTGGTACTATTTGACTATAAGAAAAAATTATAGGGAAATTTTTTCAAAAGGTGACACCGATTGACTTTAAGAAACAAATATACGAATTTTTTTTCAAACGGTGGCACCATTTGACTAAAAAATGACATTAACAAGATTCAAACTTAGGTCTGGGTTGGAATAAAAGTCTTGCAAACCGACTCTAGCAAATAAAACTTATTCTTATTGTAGTTTCAAAATACATACGGTGGCGCACAACAAATTAATACGGTTGCACCATTCACGAACCTAAATTTTTTTTACCCTTCGACGAAGGATATATAATGTAACACGTGCCACCGTATGCCCTATAGTAGGTCCGTCCATGCTTGTGTTATACATACTTGATGGAGGGGTAAATTAGTCATTTCTTTTATACCAAACTTCATGAAGACTACATGTTAAAAATAAGTACCAGATTTAAGTTAGTAAAGCTATTTCAATATATGTCAAGCAACGTTTACACACACATTAATTGGTTAACCTTAAGAACCATGTCAAAAGGTGCAAAATGAGACGTTAATATGCACCATGCATACATGGTTTTATTTTGATGTCTTAAAAATAATGAATTTTACGGTATATAGCATGAAAAACAGCTCAAATATCATTTCACCTTGACATCTATGAACTATCAAGTGCATGTTAACGAGCTAAAAAAAATCCACTATCTTAATATGAATTTTGAATATTATTTCCATGACTCGAACTGATAATATCAGTGTAGCAAACGACGTTTATAACTGATATAGAACTCGTCTAACACAATTGAAAACAAGAAAAAACATAAACCTCAAACAAAAATTTCCAATTCCCTAATTTGTTCAAACAAACTCAAGAACATGTCTGTCAAATTTAGTTCTTTACCAGTTACTACAAAATACATTTAAAATAACATAAAACCGAACCAAAATAATATGATTATATTTAAACCGATTCAAGAAATTCAAGATCATACTGATCGATATAATTCTATTTAAACTGATTTCAACAAAATCGAGCTTATTTTGATCAAAATGTTTGATATAATTAGAAGGGATGAAAGAGATACATACATAGATAACATGGTACAAGAAGAAGTGTTTGAAATGCAATCATACTTCACGAACTTGGCCCTTTTGAATTGTGTGTTTGGTAAGAGATGTCAATGAGAGTTAAATGCACATCAAGAATCAAGAGTTTTCTTCAACCTAAATTTTCCTCTTTTTCTTTTTCTTTTTCTGATTTGCTTTTTGTTTTATTTTATTGTTACTTATACATACAAGTAAACAAAAACTAAAATAAACGTATCTAATATATCTATCTAAAAATTCAGTACATGTGGTTAATTATGGGTATTTATCGATACCATAAATACAAAAAAGTTCAATGCATTATGTATTTACTAAGTATGATATCTGATATATCTTCTAACTAAACTAGTTTAAAAAAGTTTTGTGGAACATTCATTTTCATGTGGGTTGTGGAAAAAGTTTCGGTATTCCAGTTACATGCAACAATAGCAACGTGCTTTCATTTCACGCTATTGTTTTTTCCTTATGCCAAATAGCAATGTGCTCTATACAAAAATTTCATTTCACGTTGTTATATTTTTTTTTCTTATGCCATACAACAACATACTTCCATTTCATCCCATAAAGTGATGCGGTTTTGTCATTTTACATAAAATAACAAGATACTTTAATTATCTTCAATGTATAGCAATCTTATGTATTTTACTATAATATGATGATAAAGATCAATTTTAACGGCTTTACAAGAACGAAAATTAAGTTATATTGCTAATTTTATATAAAAGTAAATTGAAATTAGAACTGCCATAATATGTTGTATTTTATGTCACTTTATTTCGGTATTATATAGTATATAGCTAAAAAGACCTATCTTATATACTAGGGTCACCATAAGGAAAGTTTAGGGGTAGGCTAAATACATCTTTGTACGTTGTTAACTATATCTCTATCTACTAATTTTCTTCTTACATACATCAAATCAAAACTTACCTTTTATATTTTTAATGCATGATTTAAACTAATTTTGACATTAAATGAGGCACAAATAGCATGATGAAAACTTTAAAGTGGTGGATGTACCATCAAACGTTTTATATGGTTTTACATAATTAACTTCTAGAGTAAACTATAAACTTGGTCCTTGTAGTTTGTCAAAAAAGCATTTTTCGTCTTCATCGTTTTGAAATTACAAGATGACCATTATGGTTTATAAAAACATTCAGATTTAGTCCTTTCCTTTTGACAGTTTGTTGGTCCCGTAAGGGTTTACAAGAGTTTTATAGAAACAATTTGTAGAAGGGGGGGGGGGGTGAATACAAACACAGGAAACTTTTCAAATTTAAAATACATATTGATCAATACAGATTTTATAAGATTGTATGCGGAATAAGATAAAGTAAAGATAACCTATCTAAACAATTTAAGTTACACACAAATTATCTTAGCAAAGAGAAAAGATTTACTGTTAAGACTAAATAGGAAATGAGTTCTTTTTGAGTAAGAACTTTTTAGAATACTTGAAAAGGGATTCTAACTTTCTTGAAGATAAGCGTAAGTGTTCATAGATGTGTGTATGTTCTTTCACGTAAGCACGTAAGGATTAAGATATCTCTGCATGGAGATAGTACACATCTATTTATACTCATTACATTAAATGCACATTTAATGCAATGCAGTAGGGTTTAAAGATGTGTCAAGCTTTTAGAGAAAAGTTTTTCTTTTGCTACAGTGAATAGTATCAAAGCTATTCGTGAGCAGACATCCTTTCATAGAGTTGGTAGGTAGTAGAGTCAACTAATCGGCTCCATACCGTACCATACTCTAGAAAGGGTTTGAGTTTGTCATTTGTGTGTGGAAGGACAAGACAAAAGAAATCTTGCACAACAAGCTTCTTTTGATCACTGAATGCTGGAATAACCTTGAAGATTTTTTCAGCATTCCCTGAGGCTTGGGCAGTCTTCACACATATGTGGACTAGGTTGTAATCATTGAATGTCGCTTCAGATCACGAATGCGCTAGTCTCTAATCTTCAGTTTCAATCTTCAACTTTCACTGAAGGTTCTTTGGTGTGAGTATTGTCTTCTTAAAGTATCACTGTCGCTGATAGATTTACAATACATGTCTCAGTGATCACTGAACTGACTAAGTGATAATCGCTGGAACTGAAAAAAAACAGAAACATAATACTTCGTAATAGATAAAAGGGTATCATCAAATCAATGAGTGAGATGATCAACAATCCCCCCCTATTTGATGATAACAAAGAAACATAAAGAAAGTTGTCTTATCAAACAGCAGTAAGGAAAAGTTGCATATAAAATACATGTCTCCTTTAACTGTTTTGGGATCTTTTTCAGTGAGTCAGTTTTTACTTGGTAAATTTTCTTAAGTTACAAATTTAAGAAAATGTATAAGAAGGGAAACAGAAACTGAAAGCATGTTCACTGACTTATAGATTGTCAGTGAATGTAAGAGAAACACTGGAACTCATAGACATGTGTCCCTATTACTCTTTTCATGGATCTTTTTTAGTGATGCAAATGAAACACTTATATTAATTTCGAAAGGAAATATTCCAGTGATCATTTTACTTAAGATAAGTATAAAAGAGATATACTTACTTAAAATATTCAGCGATAAAAAGAATCACTGAAACAAACTTTTAATACGTTTTGATCACTGAAGAAGGAAAGCTTCAGTGATAGTTATAAGTTTTAAAGAAGAAGAACGAGTATGCATACCTTAGAGAGAATAGATACATTTACTCAAGAGTTCAGTGATAGAGTGAGAGCACTGAATCATTTCACTTTACTGATTGATGCATATATCTGAAAGATATTAATCTTCAGCGTTTAGCATTCCAAGTTTGCTGATCAAGATGTTAAATCTTGTCTCATCAAGAGGCTTGGTGAAAAGGTCAGCGAGTTGGTAATCAGTGGGAACAAAGTGAAGTTCAATATCACCATTCATAACATGATCTCTGATAAAATGATATATGATCTCTATATGTTTGGTCTTGAAGTGAAGTACAGGGTTGTTTGCAATTGCAAAAGCACTAGTACTATAACAACATATAGGATCTTTGAGAATTGAAGAACGTAGTCGTTCAGCTGGTTTTTCATCCAAAGGACTTGGGCACAACAACTTCCAGCGGCTACGTATTCAGCTTCAGTGGTTGATGTGGACACTGAGTTTTGCTTCTTACTTGTCTAGCTCACCAACTTTCCACCTAGAAGCTGACAGCCTCTAGTGGTGCTCTTCCTATCGATCTTGCAACTTGCAAAACCACTATCCAAATAACCTATTAGGTCAAAATCTGAACCCTTAGGGTACCAGAGACCCAAGTTAGGAGTTCCCTTCAGGTATCTGAAAATGCGTTTTATAGCGATCAGATGGGATTCGTTAGGTTCAGATTGATATCGTGCACATAGGCAAGTAGAATACATAATATCTGGTCGACTAGATGTAAGATACAGTAGAGAGCCGATCATTCCTCTATAAACAGTTATGTTTACAGGCTTTCCATTTGGATCCTTGTTAAGAGAGAGTGGAAGAGCCATAGGAGTCTTCATAGATGAGCTGTTAGAGAGATCAAACTTTTTCAGCATATCACGGACATACTTACTCTGACTGATAAAGATGCCTTTATTTGATTGCTTGATCTGGAGATCTAAAAACAAGGTTAGTTCTCCCATCATACTCATATGGTATTCTTTCTTCATGCGATTAGTGAATCGAAAACATAAAGAGGGATTAGTGGAACCAAAAATAATATCATCGACATATATTTGGACTAGAATGATATGACCTTTAACTTTCCTAAGAAATAATGTCTGGTCAATCTTTCCACGGACGAATTTCTCAAAGATGAGAAACGAAGAAAGGGTATCATACCAGGCACGAGGAGCCTGTTTCAACCCATAAAAAGCTTTATCCAAACGATAGACGTGGTTTGGATACTTAAGGTCAAGAAACCCTGAAGGTTGTTCAACATAAACTTCCTCTTGAAGTTTTCCATTTAGAAAAGTGTTATTTACATTTATTTGGTAGACTTTGAGGTCTCTATGGGCAGCAAAGGTTAGAAAGAGTCGAAGTGTTTCGAGTCTAGCCACTGGTGTGAAGGTCTTGTCATAATTGATCCATTCTTCTTGTATATAACCCTGAGCAACAAGACAAGCCTTGTTACGGGTTACCACACCTTCTTCACCTAACTTGTTGCGATAGACCCATTTTGTGCCTATCACTGTCTTATTAGATGGACGTGGGACAAGGTACCAGACTTTGTTCCTATCAAACTCAATGAACTCCTCTTGCATGGCAATGACCCAGCTAGGGTCTGAGATAGCATCATTGATCTTCTTGTGCTCAACTAAAGAAAGAAAGTTGACAAAGAGATAGATATTACTTAGACCTCGACGAGTCTGAATACCTGCACTTGGATCACCAAGAATTTGATGAATTGGATGGTCTTTAGTCCATCACTAAGCTGGTAGAGGATTATCATCTGAGCATAAAGGTTCAGGAACAGAAGATGAGGCTTCAGCTGCAAATTCTTCAGCGATGGGAACAATTGCTAAAGGAGCCTCAGATTCAACGACTAATACAGGTTCAGATGCTAAAGGCATTTCATTCACTGATTGATTAGTATTTGAAGTAGAAGAAGGAACACAGCTAATGGGCACTGGAACGATCTCTGAAGAAGATGCGTTAGGGTGATTAGCTGTAACAAGAATGATTAATGGATCATCTTCAACTTCTGGGGCTTCAATGTTGAGAGGAACGCTGAAGGAAGCTTCAGGTTGTCCAAAATGAGAAAACATCCAGTTTTCTAATTCTTCGTCATCATTTATGATGGGTTTAGAATTAGCTGATTGAGATTTGTCAAATGTGACATGAATCGTTTCTTTTATCGTCTGTTGGCGTTTGTTGAATACTCTAAAGGCTTTAGACACTGAAGAATATCCAAGAAAGATTCCTTCATCAGCTTTGGGATCAAACTTTCCTAGTTGATCACGGTTGTTAAGAATATAACACGTGCAACCAGAGATATGTAGAAAGCTGATAGAGGGCTTTCTGCCATGGAAAAGTTCGTAAGTTGTCTTCTTGAACC